ATAGGCAGAAATATCCCTGACCCCTCCTGACCTTGGGCCATGCCCACCGCCTCTGGCCCTGCTGTAACCTCATGTCATGAAGACCCCTGCTATGTACACGCACGTCCAGACCCCAGGCCCTGCTGTCTGTAGGCTTTCTAGCAATTTCAAGTTCCAGATTGGAGATTTAGGAAATGTTGTCTGCCTTCCCCCTACCCCACCATAATGAGGGGAACCTATAAGGTTGTGGCAGGCCCTCCCGGCAAAAATAACCCCTCCTGCCTTCACAGCTGTTCTCAGACCTGACCGCCATGTTGCTCAGCACTGTAGGAATGAGGGCCTTTTCTGGGAGTCTTGGAGCCTCTTGGGCTGTACCAGAAAGCGGGTTCCACACTGCTCTGCTCTAGGCATCCCCAAACTTTGCATGGGGCTCTCTCCCATCCTTTCAGGGTTTTAACCTCACTCTCCTCTCACTCCAAGCTTTTAACTCCCCAACTCAGAGTTGGTTTTTTACTAACTGACTTTCTATGTGGTGGGAAATTACCCTTACATCCTATCACTTCTCGTTTACTCTATGATCACAACTCCACACTTGGGCTATCTCTTTAAATCAAGTCCTTTTTGGAATTCAAAGGAAAACCCATTTCTCTCTCAGGTACCTAGCTCTTGTAAATCAGAAGCACTCTGCTTTGAGCCTTTGTGTCTGCTGTGAGTTAAAAATATTCATTAAACTCTTCAGTTGCCTATTTGGTTCAGATGCCTATTGGCCCTGCCCATAAATACCACTGATTCAGTTGGTGGGAAACCCCAGGCAACTAGTAATACCTAATGAGCAAAAATATTTGTTTTATTTTTTTGAAAATACTCTCCTGCTACACATGCCACAACCTGGAATAAATCCTGTTTTTTTTTTTTTTTTTTTTTGAGGTGTGTTGGCTGGGTGGTTTTGTTTCTGGTTTGTTTTACAAAACAGACATACCACTTTGTTGTCTGTCAACACATGACATTTTTTCTTCTGAGGAATTTCCAAGTGCATTATTTTTCTTCAGAACATTCCAGTAGGAAATTGAGGAGGAAATTTGCCAGTTTTCTTGGTAATGAATGATTATCTATTTGGCAGAAGACTGTCAGGTGGGACATAGTTGCTCCAATCCAGTACTAATAGATTGGGGATTTATCAAGTGGTCAGCATATTAATGGGTCTAACCATACTTTGCTTCCTTCCTTAGGCCTTGCAAGTGCTTTCACTTTGTATTTCGTCATTACATTTTCCAATGAAGTAGCTGTATCCTTATACAGAGGAGGCAACTTGGGTTTCAAGGGCTACATGACCTGTGAAGGTTATCCTGAGAACCTAGGTCTTAAATCCAGGTATTAGACTCCATTGGACAGGTGTCTTCCTTGCCTCAGTTTCTCAAGGAGAGGTGCCAGATTGGTGTTCTAGAACATACCTCCCAAGGAGTGGATTGCTGTGGTCAAAAGCTGACCCTCCTGCATTCAGCTCAGTTCCCCAAGGACTCTTCACTGTGCCCTGTTCACAACTGATGGTCACAGATGTTGACTGAATGAAAGATGTTCAACTTTTATACCTCTCCTAGTCCTAGGGTGATTCTCAAGGCTTTTGGGGAAAAAAAGCATTTAACCATCATTAATAAACATTGAGCTTAGTTTTACTTTTACTGCAATCTTCGATTTGGAAGTCCAACAAAATTAATTATAAGCCTAATGGCTTTTGAAATCTATTTGCAAGATTTTATGTATAGTCAAATTTAAGTGTTTCCATTTTCAAGATGTGTTACAGAGAGTATAATCTCGAATTACCAGGCTTCCACTGTAGCAGACCTTTCACTTCTGCAAGGGTGGAAGAGATTTTCAGCAGCTGAATAATGGTAGATTCCTTCCTGTAGGTATTTCACCAGCAGACATACTTCACAAATATTCTACACATTGGATGAGGTTTGCAACAGGGAAACAGACCAGTTCAATGACACATGTTTTTTAAAAAGGGCTTTTTTTTTTTTTTTTTTTTTTTAATGGTGTGACCGGATATTTTGCTCCTATTTTACGCTCAGCACAAATGTACAAATACGTGCTTTAATGAATATGTTAAGTCTATCACTGATCTTCTTGGGCTGTAATCTCTTCCTGTCAAATTTGCCAAGCCGAGCAGAATCAGTTGTCTGTTTTTGTTTTCAAGAGAAGCTTCTAAAGCTCCAATCCTTAGCACGATCTTTAGTGTTTTTCTGATCTTTGAAATGGAAGAGGTGTTTTGTTGTATTTTTTCAATGCGCTTCAAGTACTAGGTTAAAAAGTCAAGCTTTGACAACTTTTGACAGGGGCATGACGGCAGGAACTTTGGTTTGTGATGCCTTTGAGGAGACTTGAAGTTTGCCAGCACCAAAGTCCTCTTGGTTTTTACCTTAGGCAGGAGTTTTCATCTTAATGTTATTTTGTGCATAAATTCTACAGAGGACATTGCCACATCATAACTGGGTTCTCAGGCTGGAGTTGACAACCACCAGCCTCTTGGGAATTATGGTCATCTTACTGATGGGAAAACATCTTCAACATGTGTCCCTCTTTCTGTGGCTTCATGACCTCATTCCTGGCTGCTAAGATTGGAGAAAGATGTGTCAAAAACATATAGTAATATCTTAAAAGAAAATAGCTGAGTAGTTAGGAACAGAGGTTTGGGAATCAAATTGTCTGGATTCAGATTCCAGCCCTACCTACCCACCCTCATACCGCAGACAGTCTGAAATATTGGAATAGTCTTATTTGTACAAATAGCAAAGCATTTATGGGATAGGTACCTCCATAAAGAGAGATGTGTGTTTGAGGAGCTACTGTTGTTACAGTAGCTTTTAGCTCCTCCCTACACTAGCACCGTTTTAGTAGGAGGGAGCCAAGGTGGATTCTCAGTTAATACATCTATCATCCTGTAGTTTTTGTCTTCAGTTTGATCTTAGAGTTCATCATTGCCACCTTTGCAGTTAATTCAGTGTTATTATTTTTTTAATGCAAAACAGGCTTGAACAACCCAGCAGGATTATCATTCAACATAGATAAAATTCCATTCCACCCATGTGACTCAATTCATGAGCCCTAGGATTGATTTTTCTAATTGCTCTTTTACTTGTGCTGCTTTCCTCAGACCTACTGGGAGACCCAGATGATCACCCTATGCTTACCTTACCACACAGAACAATATTTCTTATTTGCACAGTAATTCGGTGCATAGCATTCATAGCATAGTAATTCTATGACCTACTCCAAACAAATGGGGAAGCATTTTCTTCTTCATAGCCTCAATCCTTGTCCTAATCCTAATGGTCATACCAAACAGTGACTCTTGGGCAGGTTCATCTCTGCCTGATGTCCTTATCTTTAAAAAAAAGGATAATAATCATACCTCCTCCTAAGACTGTCATTAGGATAAATTGCATAAACATGTAAATGTTCATAGAACAAAGCCTGGCACAGAGAACAGCTCCAGTCTTTGCCAAGACTTCCTGTTTTTCTATTACTTTATTATTTTTGTATAATCTATTTCTGTTTACCAGTTACCCTGTGTCTTAGTTCAGGCTACTATAACCAAATACCATAGACTGGGCAGTTTTTAAAATGTATACAACAAACCCTTTTTTCTCACAGTTCTAGAGTCTGGAAGTCTGAAATTAGGGTGTGAGCATGGGCACACCAAGGTGAGGGCCCTCTTCCTGGTTTGTGCATGGCCATCCTTTCCTTGTGTCTTCACACGGCAGAGGGAGGGCCGGCTCTCTTCATCTTCTCACAGGGACCCCAAGCCTGTCATGGTGGCTATACCCTCATGACCTGATTACCTCCCAGAGGCTCCATCTGCTAACACCATCCTATTGGTAGTTAGAGTTTCAGCATATGAATTTGGGGAAGACACAGACGTGCAGTCCATAACACTGTGTATCTTGCACAGCTTGTTGCTTCAGCATCTGAGCTGTTCCCTGTTCCTTTAGCAGGGGAGAGATAAGGGGCAAACAGAGTGTCTAAGGTGGTTTCTCTTTGCCATCTCCTTTATCCCTCAACTCTCAAGCCGTAGCATCACAGACTTAGAGAGAAGACAGGGTCTATTTTTTTTTTTAAAACGGAGTCTTGCCCTATTGGCCAGGCTGGAGTACAATAGTGTGACCTCGGCTCACTGCAACCTCCGCCTCCCGGGTTCAAGTGATTCTCCTGCCTCAGCCTCCCGAGTAGCTGGGATTACAGGCGTCTGCCACCACGCCTGGCTACTTTTTTGTATTTTTAGTAGAGATGGGGTTTCACCATGTTGAAGACAGGGTCTGTTATAACAAGATAGTTACAAATATGTTCAGTACATATATTCAGTACTAAAGACTTTAGTAGATACTACCTAGCTGTCAGAAAAATCATTAGCAAAGTGCTTTCCAGTTTTATGTGTAGACATGTTGCTTAGGAATGTTAGCTTAATAACCATAGCTTCTTGAAACATAGAACTTGGCACAGCATCAGCAAGGAACATCTTTTCTGCTTCTTGTTGTGTTTTTGTTTTTGTTTTTTTGAGGCAGAGTCTCACTCCTGTTGCCCAAGTTGGAATGCAGTGGTGCCATCTTAGCTCACCTGCAGCCTTGACTTCCCAGGCTCAAGCTATCCTCCCACCTCAACCTCCTGGGTAGCTGGGACTACAGGTGTGTGCCACCATGCCAAGCTAATTTTTTGTATTTTTTGTAGAGATGGGATCTCGCCACATTGCCCAGGCTGGTCTCGAACTCCTGGGCTCAAGTGATCCACCTGCCTCAGCCTCCCAAAGTGCTGGGATTACAAGTGTGAGCCACCAAACCTAGCATTCTTTAATGTTATATTACATTTTCTAGCAGAGAATTAGAAGGGATACTGAGAAAAACCTATTTTGAATGGATAAAACAATGAGAATCAAAATTTTTCTTTAATGCACTAATTTGATAATCTAGCAGCATAATAAATCGATACTGGGTATATTAAACAAAGTGTTTGTTTTTCTTTTAAAGATATTCTGGAGTGTATACAATAATATCCCTCCTGTGACTAGCCTGCCTTTGAGATGCAGTTATCATTTAATGAGAGGAGAGAGGCGACCACTTTGGTAAGTGTCTAACGTGTAATTTAAGGTCAAGGTGGGAGGGAAATGTTTGTGAACCTCATAAAATATCATATCACCTGAGATGTGTGTCTCACATGGACAACATAGAAAGTCTATGATACCAATCATGACCCAGGGTCTGGGGCTAAGTGTCCTCCTTCTTTAATAGCTTGATGTAGTGATGAAGATGGACAGTAAGTTAGTTTGCCCAAGCTGGAGTCCCAATTAGTAATAAATCCTTATGTCCTGTCATTCAGTCTTTCTGCATTATTTACTCATTAATAAAATGTAAATGTGTCTCATCTTGAGTAGTGGCAAATGACAGAAACCTAATTTTTTTGTGTGGGTTTTTTTGTTACTGTTGTTGTTCGGTTGGTTTCTTTTTTTTTTTTTTTCTTTTCTTTTTTTTTTTTTTTTTTTTTTTGAGACCAGGTTTTACTCTATCACCTAGGCTGGAGCACAGTGGCACCATCACAGCTCACCACAGCCTTGACCTCCCAGGCTCAGGTGAACCTCCCGCCTCAGCCTCCCAAGTAGCTGAGACTACAGGTGCATGCCACCACCCCCAACTAATTTTTTCTTTTGGGTCGAGATGGGGTTTCACCTTGTTGCCCAGGCTGGTCTTGAACTCCTGGGCTCAAGCGATCTGTGCGTCTCAGCCTTCCAAAGTGCTGGGATTACAGGCATGAGCCGCCAGGCCCAGCCACCAGAAACCTAATTTGAGCAAAAAAAAATTGAATATGTTTTTAACCTGTGACTGGGAAGTTCACTGGTAGGGGTAATTTCTGGCAGATCCGGCTCCAGTGTTATCAGGAATCTGATGGTCCCCACCAGAATTATTCTGCTTTATTCTACATTGGTTTAATTTTCGGTTTTATTTTCTCCCATCTGAGGTGGCAAAGTGGCCTTCGTATGCTGTGGTCTTAACACCCTGCAAGTTTACTAATGTCAGTACTCAGCAGCCCAGATAAAATCTCAGGGCTGGCTCTCATTGTCTCACTTTGGATCCCCTTTCAATTTCTGGCCAATCACAAAGACTAGGAAGAGGCAGTACTCTCATAGGCTAGCCTGAGTCAGAAGCCCATCTTTGAAGCTAGGACGTGGAGTCAACCCTGCGTGAGTGGATCTCACAGAAGAGTAGGGGGCAGGTGGCTCTTTAGGGGGAAACTGGGATGCTCTTACCAGAAAGGGAGCAGATACTAAACAGTGACACACAGCAGGTGTCCTTCACAGGGATACCTATGAGGCCTTGATACATGGTTGATAGGAGAATCACATGAGACAATGTCATGACTATGACTTTGAAGTGTCAGGGCCTTCCCTTGTATGAAGCGGTTGTATTCGTTGTCCATCCCCAGAGTCAAGCAGGCCTGTCTGCACCAGCCCTTTGAGGATGAGGATCTCAAGTCCTATCACCTTCCCTGCCCATGGAGCCACTGAATGCCACTTTCTTGCCTCTCCATCCCTAGCTCCTTCCTTTTGCATTCATCTGCTTCTGTTTCCAACAAAAGGACTGAGGAAGAGTTTATTGAAAAATGCCCAATCTTACCCCTGTTAAAATGGCTTTTATCCAAAAGACAGCAATGCTGGTGAGGATGTGGAGAAAGGGGAGCCCTCGTACACTGTTGATTAGCACAGTCAACTATGGAGAACAGTATGGAGGTTCCTCAAAAGACTAAACGTAGAATTGTCACATGATCCAGCAGTCCCACTGCCAGATATATACCCCAAAGAAAGGAAATCAGTATGTCGAAGAGATATCTACACTTCCATGTTTATTGCAGTGCCATTCACAAGAGCCAAGATATGGAATCAGCCCAAGTGTCCATCAACAGATGAATGACTAAAGAAAATATGGTACATGTATACCATGGAACAGTATTCAACCATCAAAAAAATGAAATTCCGCCATTTGCAACAACATGGATGGAATTGGAGAACATTATATTAAGTGAGATAAACCAGGCATGGAAAGACAAATATCTCATGCTCTCATTCATATGTCGGAGCTAAAAGAACAAAACAAAACAAAACAAAAAAAACAGCTGAACTGATGGAGAAAGAGAGTAGAATGATGGTTACCAGAGGCTGGGAAGTTGCGGGGGTGATAAAGAGAGGATCGTTAATGGGTACAAAAATACAGTTAGAATAAATGAGGTCTTGGAGCACAACAGGGTAACTATAGTTAACAATAATTTGTTATGTATTTCAAAATAACTAAGAGTGGAATTGGAATGTTCCTAACACAAGGAAATGATAAAGACTTGAGGTGTTGGATAGATATCCTAAATACCCTGATTCAGTCATTATACCTTGTATGCATGTATCCAAATATCACATGTAGGCCAGATGTGGTGGCTCATGCCTGTAATCCCAGCACTTTGGGAGACAAAGGTGGGAGGATTGCTTGAGGCCAGGAGTTCAAGACGAGCCTGAGCAGCAAAGTGAGGGAGACCCTGTCTCTAAAAAAAAATTTTAAAAATTAGCCAGGTGTGATGGCACATGCCTGTAATCCCAGTTGCTTGGGAGGCTGAGTGGGGAGGATTGCTTGAGCCCAGGAGTTCAAGGCTACAGTGAACTATGATCATGCCACTGCACTCCAGCCTGAGTGACAGAGTGAGACCTAGTCTTTAAAAAAAAAAATTCAGATATACCCCATAAATAGGTGCAACTATTATGTATCCATAATAAAAAATAAAAAACAAAAACAAGAAAAATGCCCAACTATTTTGTTTTTAAGGTCGTCTATTGTTAAACTAAATGTATGTAGAGATATTTAATCTAAATGTATGTAGAATCACTTAGTCCTGAGTGTAACTTTAAACGTTGGTCTTTGGCCCAGGGAAGAGGAGAGTAATGCAAAGGGCGGCGTATGGAAGATGAAAGTCCCCAAGGACAGCACGGTAGGTTCCTTCTGATCCTCTTCTAGAACCGACAAGGCTTGGGGTTGTTGACTGCCTGTCATCAACATGTTGTGCTTTGCAGACAGCCTGTTTACCTGGCAGTCCCCAAACAGGCTAGGGGTGAGAAATTCTGTTCTGACCTTGATTTTCTGCCTTACACTGTCACCTTGAAAGTGTATAATTGTGCTTCTCCATAGACATGGTGTAATATGTGACTGTATGATGCAGTCTGCAGGAGTAAATGCCTGTGAACTTCACAGAAAAGCTGGGTGAATGTCTTTATGGTAGTCATTCCTTTGACAGCCATGACTAACATGTGGCATATGGTTTTACAAAGTTGGAAGTAGGATCTTTGTTTCCAAAGGCTCATCCCTCCTCTACAGGGGGAACAAAAGCAGTTCTGAGAATGTCCATGGCACAGAGAATAGGGAGGCTTGGCATTTCACCATCCTTTGGGGTTTCATGAGAGAGTATGCTCCATCCCCCTCTGGGGCTGATGAGAACCTGGATGATGTGACGACCTAGTGGGATGCTGGTTTGCAGTGATCAAGTCTCAGAAACCCAGATTTCCCAGAGCGAGCTCTAATTAATCATATTGACTGGAAATGAACGTGAACATTAAAATCGGTTATCTTAAGCCCTGGGAAACCAAAAACTTCTTTGAAAATGGACAAAAGGGGAAATGCTACCCAGTTTCACCTTTTCATGATTTCTTTCATGTGGATAAGCTCAAAGAACTGAAATGTCTCCAGGGACCCATATGCTTGAGCTGGAGTCATTTTCCTATAAGCACATACCCAAAGATATGACCAGATTTATTTGTCAAAGGTGCAAACTATTCGTCAAGATGTGAAGCTCCAGCGTTTTCCTGATGTTTGGTGTACATAATGAAAACTATCAGGGGAGCAGAGAATATAAGAGAATGAGGGAATATAAGGTGTTTTTAAAATTTCATTATGAACACTTTTTGCCTTTCCGTGTTATTTACTCGCACTAGACTTTGAACTCTAGTAGAAGTAATCATGATGTCAACATTCCTTGAAAAGCAGCTGAAAGGCAGTTTTGTCCTCTCCTTGTTAGCTCACTTGGCTGCGTTGGGTTACAAATAATAACTCTTTCATATCCTTGCAAATGCCTTCATCCCAGGCAGTTTAGCCTACTTTTCGTCATCAGCCAGTGGGAGTCTTGTGGGCCAACCTTGTCTGAATTCAAAGCAGAAGGGTGAAGTCTCCCTTCCCCTAATGGCATCTCCCAGCTCTCAACTTCATCACTAACAGCTTGAAGGACTGTAGCTGGACAGAGAAAATGGAAGCAATGATTCCTAGGTGGGAGACTCATAGACCAGAAGGGACTGGCTAGGAAAGACAAAAGAAAAGGATGAAAGGTCACTTCTCAGTTCCCTGGCTAACTGCCATGGCCTTGGTTAAAGATTCAGCGAGACTGCTTTAAGCTTGTGAGGACATAATAATAAACACTATTATTATAGTTAATATGCATTGAGCACTTGGAATATAGCAAACACACAGCTGTTTATGGCATGGATCTTAAATGTTAAGCCCTTTTATTGCAGTCATTGTACTAAGCCCTCTGAGCACATTTGTTGACTAATTTCATACCCACAACAGCCCTGGAAGGTCAGACCTATTATTATTTCCTTGTTCACCTAAAGAAACTGATGATCAGAGAGGTTGTTAACCCACCTGGTTTGCAGATAGCAAGCAGCCTCTCAGGATTCAAACCTAGTTTGGGGGCAATTTGGAGCCTGTGAATCACAGGAAGGAGGATAAATAGGACCAAGAACTTTTCAAAGGAAGTAATGTGAGTGGAAATAATCTGGCTGTCTATTGGATGCCACTAGTAGATTATGAGGAGAAAGAAACTCCAGTGTTTCTCATTGGTAGGAGGCAGACCACAGCAGGCACTGAATCTTCCAGGGAAATTACATACATTCTTACATAAAGTTCTATCGCCTGCCATAAACAGTCTGCCTCAAGTGAATGGAATTTCCCAAGACTCTAGTATTAAATAAACAAGAAATGTCCTTAAGTGTTCTTTACTTGTGTAACCTTTGAAGTACCTTATAAGTAGTAAGAAAAACAGAGAAAGGATTTTGAAGAGAAAGATTTTACTAATAGCATCCACATATAATTAGCTTCTGTGTTTTGAATCAGTGAGAGGTAAAGAAATTGGAAATTTTTTAGTCGTTTCAATGCGTTTTGCCTAGAAGTTCTTCTGAATTTCACCAGGAGTTTCACTAGAGATTAGCTTTTACTAGACTTTGGCTCACTTGTATCTGTGTAAAGTTATTTGTAAACCACTGAAAAATATGCCACGGTGATAAATGTTTGCACCTAGGCTTTGGAGGTGTCTGTGGACTCCAAATATGGGCACAGAAAGTACATGTGAAGTTGAAGAAAACATAATTTGTTTAGCTCCTGAGGATAATGTTCTAAAAATATGTGTATTTTGTTTTGTTTTTTATTATTTTCCCATATCAGTCCACAGTTTGGAAAGAGTTGCTGTTAGCAACCATCGGGGAACAGTTCACAGACTGTGCTGCAGCAGGTAAAGCAGCCCACGGCTCTGGCCGGCCCTGCCTCTTGTGCTCCTGGCTTGTGCTTGTTTCTTGCAGCAGTTTGTTATCACGTGTTTGACTTTTTACATGTTTTGAAGTTGTTTATTTTGGAACTACAAAGTTACTCAGTTTTTTTTCATGTGATTTTGGTGTTTAGTGTTAGATATGTGTGTCTATGTCCATACGTGTATTTACGTATGTGCATATTATATTTATATATGTATGTATATATTCATGTATGTGTTTCCCTCTTAGCTTAACTTAATAGTATCTGTAATCATCTGTCCAAAATAAATAGGCAGAAGAGAAAAATCTGACATTAACTGGGCCCTTAATGCAGTTGGTAGTAGGTTCCCTTTTTCTCTTCCAGTTTTTCCAGAAGGGGAAAGTGCTTTCGGTGTCTAGTGAAGTTTGTAGGTGGGCAGGCACAATCCTCTCTGTCCCTCTCAACCCCTAGCCCCTTCCTCTTGTTCTCTCTGTCCCCTGCTCAAAGAGGACTAGAGTAGTAGGTGGGGACATGCTCACTGTTATGTCCCGGGATCACACGGTGGAGGATAAGACAGAAGTTCTTCGGGGCTTTTCTTTGGAGACCATTTTCAGATACTCAGGGTATTTCTGAGAGCAAAACAAAAAGCTTTTGTTTTGCTTTGTGTTTATCATGAACCCACTCAGAGAGCAGAATTTAATTGCTTGTTTAAAGTTTTGTTTTCTTTTGGGGGTAGTTCCTTCTGAATGCTCCTGAAGTAACATTTAGAATACTATTTTTCCTACCCAGCTTTCAGTTAAGATTTTCTTTTTAGCTAATGACAGTGATGAGTTGTCGCTCCGATGTCTTAGATGGAGCCGTGTTTGAGAGCCCTGTAGGCCTTGCCAGTCCCGGGGCATGTTTCGGATTCATCTCATGAGCAGTTCCTATCATTCCACTTTTGTTTTGCTTACTTCTTACACCACTTTTTATTCACGTAAGACAAAACCTGCGCTGGGCATGGTGGCCCATGACTGTAATCCCAGCACTTTGGGAGGCCAAGATGGAAGGATCACTCGAGGCCAGAAGTTCGAAACCACCCTATGTAACATAGAGAGACCCTTTCTACAAAAAATGCAAAAATTAGCTGGGCATAGTGGCATACACCCATAGCCCCAGCATCTTTGGAGGCTGCAGTGGGAGGATCACTTGAGCCCAGGAGGTAGAGGCTGCAATGAGCTGTGATCACTACTGCACTGCAGCCTGGGTAACAGAGTGAGACCCTCTTTTAAAAAAAGAAAAAACAGAGACCCCGGTTAAGATAAAATTGTCTGTAAGTACAGATTCCTTCTGTTTTAATAGGGAGTATTTAGCAACTTGATAATATACAGCCAAAAATGTATCCTGTGTATAATTATAAACACATAAATCCCTGGGAGAGGAAGTTTTCTGCATGAATTATTCCTGTTTCCAGAACCAGGGAAAAATAGTCTAAGTAGTAATAGCCAGGATTGAATAAAGAAGACCAATTGTTTTGTGGTTGACTTGAGACATGAGAGCACCATTAGCTATTAACCATTAGCTCTTCCATTAATCAGCTATGCCACTTTTAGCAAGTCAACTAATCTCTCTGGGCCTCACTCCCCTCATCTTTAAGCAGTGGCTCCTCCCAGCTCTAATGTCTTATGCTGCCAGTACCCTAAAATAATCAAGGTTTTGCTGGTTGATTCTACTTATGAATATTACATGTTTGCTGATGGATCTGCCTTTGGATAAGAGTTGCAGCCTTTTTTTACCAAACCATTTGTGAAAGTGCTGTGCTAGTAACTATGCCTGGTTACCAAGAGCAAAACCAAACTGAAATATTGACAGTTCGGCATCCGTCCGTTACGTCACACTTTGACCAATAGGGTAGAAATTGGCAACACCAAAAGACAGGAAACATGAACATTTCCTCAAAAGGGTGACCTTGTGACTTCATGGCCACTCTTGAAACTGGTAAACTGCAAAGCTCCCCTTTGTAGTTGATGATTTTTATTTTCATATAAAATATAACATTGAGCTCTGGCAAGACTATTTTTAAAGTGTAAATTAAAAAGTAAAGAATCTGTATCTAAGAATATTTTCTTGATGGAATAATAAGTTTCTGTGAATGGCCATGATAAGGTACTATGTTTTTTGACTCTTTTGTTTAAATGTGGCATATATACAGAAGAGTGCACATGTCATATGTGTACAGTTTGATAAATATTCACAAAGTAAGCATATAACTGTAACTAGCATCCAGATATATAAGCAGGATATTACCAGCCCTCCAGGATCCCTCTCTGCTCTCTTTCCTTCCTTCAAAGGTAACCTGCAGTCTAACTTCTAACATCATAGGCCAATTTTCGCTGGTTTTGAGTATTTATATAAATGGACTCATTTAGTGTCAAGTCATACACATTTAGCCAGGATCAAATTCATTTTAAAAAAGAAAAGAAGGAAGAGGGGGAGAAAGAGAAGGGAAGAATGGAGAAAAGAAAGGAATTACTTTACTGCCAATTATTTCTTTTAGTAAATTGGATATGTTTTTATTTAAATTATATCCTAATACTAAAACGTTTTAACTTCCAGAAGACAATTGGAAAAACTGATGGCATGAATATTTAGATTTACAGAGGCCAGCAAATTAGGTAAAGCATACTAACTAAAGCAAAGTTTTCTTATATTGATAATGCTTATCTCTCACCTATTACATATTGATGCTGTTTATGAAAGTGCAGAGAGCTGACCGTATTGCATTTCTGTGTCATGAACAAGGAAAACCAAGAATCAAAAGTTTGTATTCTTTTCATTTTGCTGCAAATTTGTGTAAACAAAGTGGCTGCAAGGGAGGATAAAACAGTATAACCCCCTACTATCCATCCGCTGTTCTCAACTGTGTACAAGACAGCCCTAATCTGGAATTTTGTTTTTTTGAAAAAGTCCACCTTAATCAATGTAGATAAATGCCTTAACGTTCATTCATTGAAGGACAATCCTGTAATAGCAGAGCTGTACTCAGAAGATTTACTCTCACTCTATACACAGGGCTAACAGATGGTCATTGGCTCACTAGCCCACAGTATATAATGCCCAAAACCAGAAAAGGGATTTCTAGAGGGAGGCATCAGGAAGCAGGAAGAATTCGTAGGAAAGAAGCAGACAAGCAAACCGCAGAAAGCAGATGAGCAGCAGTGAATGCACAATCTGGGTCCAGTTAGTGTTGGGGCAGATAGCACTGACCACTCCAAGGTGCCTGAAAGCTTGGCAGGAAGTCAGGAGAAATTCTTGCTCTCCTTACCAAAGACAGCAAGGCATCAAGGAAAAGTTCATTTCAGTTCACTTGGCTTTCAGAGGGCAAGGAATTATGCAACCCATTTTAGAAAAAGTCTCATCAAAACAGAGTAAGAAATAGTCACAAAGCTTTCCTAAAGTTAAAAAGGGTAAATTACTTATCTGGAAAATGCATTCGGCTGGAACACTTTATCTGAGTCCCTGGATAAATGTGATGTGACTGCTACACCTTTTGTGCACTGACTTGCTTTCCTCCAGTGATTCCCCGTAGAAACAATTATTTCTTACAAGTTGTCTTGTGCCACCTTTTTTCCATCTTATCCTTAATTTTCAGATAAAAAGACTAAGTTCTTAGAAACAGACTGACTTGAAAGTATCACTCATTTTTTTTTTTTTTTCCTGTCTTCCCCTCAGATGATGAAGTAATAGGAGTTAGTGTCAGTGTTCGGGACCGAGAAGACGTCGTCCAAGTCTGGAATGTAAATGCCTCTTTAGTGGGTGAAGCGACTGTTTTAGAAAAGATCTATGAACTTCTGCCCCACATAACTTTTAAAGCAGTATTTTATAAACGTAAGTGCCTCATTTCCAGTTATTACTTTGTAGCTTACTCTATCATACTTTTAAAGATAAAAACTGTTTTGCAAATGCGATGAAGGCAGACTCACTTGAAATTTGATAATTCAGAAAAGAATTCAACAAAATACATTTAAGTGTTTAAAAAAAACACCAAACATAGTCTCAGAAATTAAAATGATATTTTATTTTTGCCTAACTGTGTGGATCAGAAAAGGAAATAACAAATACCGTGTTTGTTATTTCAAAAATTTTTACCTGAACTCAAATTTTTAATTCTCAGAAAAAAATTTACATTCTATTGGAAACAACAGTAACAAAAATGTCATTATATGAACTGGCAGGTAGATATTCAATCATCCCTTCATAAATAGGAATTTATAATGTATAACATCTGTATTTGTGGAAGAAATGCATTCTGAGCACAGGCATGATTGAATGTTCTACTGAAATGCTAATACTTCCTCATTATGAATGACTGTGACACAGAACCGAGAGAGAATTCACGCCTAGTAGTGAAATGTTAACGGTATGAATAGGTGTGTGGACCCATTGTTTCCATCATGATTCATGTTCATTGCTTTTGTGTGCTCTTTTGAAAAAGTCTTCTTTTTCATAATGAAACATCTTAGTGCTATTAAACCAATGTTTGGTAGATCAAACTGCAGGTCACACATTTAACAAAGAGTTAGAGAAAAGGACGACAGCCCTACACATGTATGATAAATTTCCTATATCCAAAACTCTTCCTAGAGTCAATAACCCATTTTTTAACTACTGTATTTCATTGAATCTAAGATGCTCTTGAAGATAAAATGCTCCATTATTTTTAGTATTACTAAAAAAGAAAAATAAAAGGCTCCTAATTAAACTGTAACACATTATTGGTACCAGAAGTCTTCAAATATATGTGTGGTAGTTGTGAGGAGTGCATCTTAGAATTGCTGAAATACAGTTCATTAGTGCTTCACTTTTTCCAACTCTTTGCCAAAAAGGATAAAAAAATCAAATTTTGTTTTGTGAGTATCCTAGTATAACTGGGGATATTAACACTAAGGCCTCCCTGTAAGGAATCATATAATTACAGGCCAAATGACTTAGATGTTAAGCAGTGGGGCTGATCTGGCACTACAGATATTCTGAATTTTAAATGGAAGTTTAAAAGAGACAGAAAAATGTCACTGCAGAAGTTGCTTATTGGCTGTGCAGTGTAGAAGTTGCAAATTTGCCGATGCTATTTTTATTCTTTAAGGATACTTCAATTGTATTTTCACCCCAGATATTAATTGAAAGGTCATCAAGAGTTTTTTCTTTTTTTTTTATTTCACAAGACCAGCAGAAACTCTGTAGATGGAAGTGTATTTCATTGGCATTTACGTATGGGGCTAAAACATTTTTTCCCATGAACCAGCTCCACACTTGACTCTAAAGAGGAGAACACCAATTTGGGGTCATTAAGTCAGGCACTTTGGATTTTTGTCCAGCTTCACCAGTGTGACCTTGAGCAAGTCACAACTTCTCATTCTTTTACTTTCTCATCTGAGTATCGAGGAGGTTGGTCTTAGATGATCTCCAAGGTTCCTTCTACTTCAAAGTTCTATGATTTAAGTTTCCAGGTAACACATTGGTTAGCAGCAGGCTCAACACAGATAATAAGATACCTGTTTTGTCAGATAATAAGGCCACAGAGTGGTCAGGTCACTTTTTAGGGCCATGGCAATAATCAAGTGAGATTGACAAAGGGCAGGATGATTCACTGGTTAGCTGTTGTGATGGCTCTGGGAAAGAAAAAAGCCAAACAAGGGGAAAGAAAACTGCGACTTGGCCAGTTAAATCGAATAGATACCTAAAGGTAGAGGCCATTGCAAAGTGTGTGATACACGACTGAGGAAGGGTCTCAGCAGAAATCCATATTTTAAGGTCATAAATTAACATTTAAAAACTCAAAGATCGTTCAAATAAAAGTGTGAATTTGAAAAAACAAGCAGTTTTCTTTATTGTAAACAAAGCAGGCAGTCCTTTACTCAGCAGGGTATATACCACTTGCTGCAGAAGTGATTTGGAAAAATGAGGTTTGGGCTGAAATCTTTTTCACAGCAGGGTGAGCTAAGTTAGAAATGGCCAATTTATGCGTTTACTCTGGTTTAGTTAATAGGATCCTAGTGTAAGTATTCCCAAGTTTACAGAAGCCAGGTGACTGTAAATTTTCCATGTAGAAAGAACCCAAGCATATTCAGTCATGGCCTCTAGTGGGTAGATGGGCATTGGGCCATTGATAACTTACATTTGATATGGATACACATTATTTGACTGAGAAATTCACAATGCACAGACTCCACTCCCTGACTAGCCCCACCCTGGCCAATTCTGCTAAGTTCTTCAGAGCAGCTGAGTAACAAAGGTCTTTTCTGCTGTGAGAATTGTTTAGAGCAGGAAGCTGGAGCCCAAATCTGCCCCCGTCTTCCCCTCCCCTCTCCTGTTTCTGTATAGGTGTAGCTGAGAATGCTTTTTACATTCTTCAGTGGTTGGGAAAAATCAAAAGAAAAAGTATATTTTGTGACACATGAAAATTATATGAATACAAATTTTAGTGTCCATAAATAAAGTTTTATCAGCATAGAGCAATACCCATTTGTTTCCGTGTTACCTATAGCTGCTTTAGTGCTACAGTGGCAGAGTTAATAATTGAGACAGAGGTCAGACCTGGTGGCTCACGCCTGTAATTGCAGCACTTTGGGAGGCCAAGGCAGGCAGATCATGTGAGGTCAGGAGTTCAAGACCAGGCTGGCCAACATGGCGAAACCCCATCTCTACTAAAAATATAAAAAGTTAGCCGGGCGTGGTGGTACGCGCCTGTAATCCCAGCTACTTAGGAGGCTGAGGCAGGAGAATTGCTTGAACCCAGGAGGTGAAGGTTGCAGTGAACCAAGATCACACCATTGCACTCTACCCTGGGTGACAAGAGAGAAACTCCATCTCAAAAACAACAACAATAAATAATAATAATTGGGACAGAGACTGTATGGCCCATAAAGACAAACATTTATTCTCTTCCTTTTCCTGAAAAAGTTTGCCAACTCCAGGCTTAGAGCAATTCTATAATCCCTTTCTACCCAAAGTAACCTAAGGCTGACAGAACTCCTGTTCACTAGGCACTCCCAGTTCTGAATGTTCTGTTTTACTGTCTCCGTAACCCATCAACATTGTAGTATGCAACTATGACCACCCCAGACTGCCCCTCACACCTGGAAGTAACACGGATCTTTGGGTAGCCTGTATATCTGGATTTATTGTTTGGAAACCAGGTCACTATAGTTCTATAGTACCTCTGTTTGACCCTGAAGTATAGTATAATTTCTTTGCAGATCAAACCATGTTTTCTTTGGTGTCTTCCTTAAATATCTTTCTTAAAAAGAAAACACACTCACACAATGTGAAATATTTGTAAAGTTAAAGCTGTGAGAAATGTTCTATTAAATTAGTTCAGATTTCAGGCTGCCCTTAGGAGTATGGCCAACCTGAGGTGACCTGGGAAGTATAAAGTGCGTCTCTCCCAAAGTTTTTTCCAAGTGCGGAGTAGGTTGGGGTGAATGTCCAAGATGATGTTGCAGGGAAAATAGACCCGTTCCACCCACCTCTTCAGCAATAGTCTGAAGAATTTAGTCCTTATGAAAAACACAGAGGCCAGGTACAGTGGTTCATGACTGTAATCCCAGCACTTTGGGCGGCTGAGGCGGGTGGATCACTTGAGCTCAGGAGTTCAAGACCTGCCTGGGCAACATGGCAAAACCCCGTCTCTGTCAAAAAGACAAAATTTAGCTGGGCATGGTGGCATACACCTGTAATCCCAGCTACTCAGGAGGCTGAGGTGGGAGGATTGCTTGAGCCCGGGAAGTCGAGGCTGCAGTGAGCCGAGTAGCGTGATGCTACTGTACTCCAGCCTGGGTGACAGAGCAGCAAGACCTTGTCTTAAAAAAAAAAAGAGAAAAGAAAAAGAAAAACAGAATTGGAAGGGGCTTAAAAGGTGAAATGGGGCAGCCCATCTGCCTCCCTGGAACCCCATTCACTGCTAGTGTGGGTAGCGTGTTGGGGATCAAAGCACCCAGAGTCCTGAATTACCCCACCTTTATCAGACCTTGCTTCCTGGTAATGGTTAGCCAGATCCAGGAGGTAGATTGTTACACTCGGTCTTTTGCCTTAGAGAAAATGTTATGTATTTCGTAGGTTTCCCTGTGCCATCTTCTACTTTAAACAACGTTAAGTGTTTGAAAGTATTTTTGGTAGCATAATTTTTTTCAATTCCTGAATTCCGACTGGGCCTGGTGGCTCACGCCTGTAATCCCAGTACTTTGGGAGGCCGAGGCAGGTGGTTCACTTGAGGTCAGGAGTTCGAGACCAGCCTGTCCAACATGGTGAGACCCCGTTTCTACAAAAAATACAAAAATTAGCTGGGCATGGTGGCATGCACCTGTATGCCAGCTACTCGGGAGGCTGAGGCAGGAGAATTGCTTGAACCCCGGGAGGCAGAGGAGGTTGCAGTGAGCCGAGATTGCACCACTGCATTCCAGCCTGGGCTACAGAGCAGAACTCCATCTCAAAAAAAAAAAAAAAAAAAAAAAAAAAAAAAAAAAAAAAAATTCTAGAGTTCCTATTTAAAATTAGTAATTTTGCGAACCAGATGATAGGGCTGAATATCTATTGGCAGGGGGAAACATGATTTGGAAAAATAAGACTTAACAATTTTGTGAAACTTCATTTCCCATGGAGAGTGCTGAGAGGTAGGGAGCAGGGGCACCTAGGTATAATTGCTGTCACCCTGGTGTGGTTCTTTGTTTTGTTTTATTTTTAGTTTATTGTTCAAGATAGGCTTGTGAGTGGCTCTGTCTCAGGTTGTGTCAGGCACTCCCCGCCACCCCCCGCAATGCATTTTGTGGGGCACATTTTCCCCTGCGGCATTTGCTTGCAGCCCAACATACTCTCTTCATCGGCTTGTCGAGATGACTCATCCTCCCGGGCACAGCAAGAAGAAACAGGCTGCATGCCCATTGCTTGTTTATTCCTTGTTTTAATTTTCATTATTACGTTTCTCAGGAAATGCACGCCTTAGCTAACAGTTACTGGCAAAAAAATAAATAAATAAAAAATAAGGTGTTTGAGTTCTTGCCAACATTTGGGGAAGCTGAATGAGATGCCTAGAGGAGGGTTGGCCCATCCTTTGCTTAAAGTTTTCTTTCCTTTTTTTCTTTTTTGTTTTTTTTCTGTCCTTTAGCCCATGAAGAGCATCATGCTTTTGAAGGTGGACGTGGAAAACACTAATTGCACTCTGTAAAGAATTCTTTGTCCTTTGCTGATTGGTTTTGGAAACGGTCTTAACAGGAGGGAGAGTGAAGAGAAGACTTGCCGAAGCCGATGCTGGTCAATTTAGAGTGGGTTTCTGTCCTTGCAGATGGGCAATTAGGACTCAAAGTGGCAGGTGGGGTGGGGGGAGATTGTGTGGGTTTCTACCGTCACGTTACTTGCTTTTTTAAAAACAAAAAAACAACAAAAAAACCATTTTTTTTGGCTTTCTAAATTCTCTGTTCTTTTCACTCTGAATTTTTTTTTTTGTGCCCTTTAAAATTCCTTGTTCAGCCTAATTATTGTTTTCTACACTCCCCTTTCATTGAGGCACAAGAAATTGGTTTCCCTTTAAGTAGCTCTGCTGTACCTAGTTAATGAGAATATGCATAATCGTGACAATACTGCTTTTGAATACCACACTGTACAAGGAGGAATACTAGCTTGGAGAAACCTGTCTTCTGATTATGTGTTGTGACACATTCCTATGTGCTGTGAGCTGGGCATTGTTTTTTTCTGTCCCAGGGAAAAGAAAAACCATACTTAATCTGATTTTGCACTGACTGCACTCAAATCTTTAATTTTCCTTTTTAAAACTTTTTTTTAGTGATAAAAGGAAAATAATAGTTGGATTGCCTAACATGAAAACTATAATCACAATTCAGTATCAGGATATAAATCAAGCTCTAAGTCTTTGGACCCTTCGTAGAAACATTTCTAACCCGAATTTTAATTTGGCCTTTTCAACCAAAGGCTTAGAGTGGTAGCAAGGGATTTCTCCCACTAGGAAACCTGATGTTTCTGATTTAAAGAGAAGGTGATATTTTAATTGTTTGGATTAAGCTCCTTGCAAAGTTCGGATGTGTTTACCCACTTAGGGCTTTCCCAGTGAACGCTAACACATTTTGTTAAATGATCCCTTTCCCTGCTCACGTTGTGTGTCATTTCTCATCATCAGTAGTCCTCCAGCCTGGGCAGCTGTCCCCACCCTTTCTCATGTAGGTGCAGGAAGTTACATCTCATTTCCAGGATGCATGTGAACATTTACAAAGTTGAACTTTGAGTGCATTCAGCTCATATTAGTTATTGGGATTGTTGATATATATTGTATTATGCTACCAAAGAAATATTGGTTTTATTAGAAGGAAATGGTCATCCTCTGGACCATGGAGACGTGCTCAGAATATGCCGATTTCCCTCTCCTGACTTTGCCAAGCCTTGGGCTGCTTTTGCCTGATAAAAGGCAGGGCCATTCAAAGACACTTCCCCCAGTCGGCTTGTTTGTGGAGTCACAGGAGGTAGTGTCTGCTCACACATTTTTCAACAGGGCAGTATACTCAGAACTTCACTGTACCTGGGATTTTTAATTCCTCTTGCAGTGTTGACCAGCAGAGAGACTCGAGGCTACTTTAAGCCTCCACTATGTGTTTGTAGATAAAAATCTCCATTCAAACATTTTAAAGGACTTTGAACATTATCTGTTTATAGAAGTCGTGCCCTTCACTTGGTTAGTAACCACCTCAGCCGTAATACTTATCATCATAGGTTTTTTAAAATGCTTTTTTTTTTTCCCCTAAACTTGAGTTTCCTTAGTGATTTCAAAATGAAGTATGAGAATATCAGATCCCATTAGCAAAAGCCTGGGACTTGTTTCTCCAGACATTGTACTAACATTCAACTTGTTTTAAAATTGTGACTCAAGAATTTTAAAAAATTATTCTGGACACGAATTAAAACTCTTTTTTATAATATAAGTATTTTTCTGATAGATTAGAAAAAAGGATATAATTGACTTCACTATAATTGTCGTATATATTTCCATAAGTAAATGGATTTTGAAGTATTTTTATTTTTTGAACTTTATTTAAAGCATGTGTGATGACATGTTCAACTTTTGCATGTATGTAGCCTTTGAAGTAAAAATAAAATAAATAGGAATGTCAGGCTCACGTTAATATTTCTAGTTTCTGTTTATGATCATGGAACATGACTAGCACACAAAGTAGATTTTTGCCCCAGTGAACTTCTGCAACTGTTTCTGACCCTTTAGAAAATACCAACTGTGAGAAGGATTTAATTTGCCTAATGTTAAAAACCTATCATCTAAATTACTTTCAGGGAGGATTTTGTCAGATTTTGGTTTGGAAATCGTTTTAATTGAATATTTAGTCATAATAGACTTTATGAACTAAGCTGATTTAATCAGTTTAAAAACCTCTCATTACCTTCTTAGATTAAAGAAGCTAATACTCTTTTGAGATAGAAGGAAATATTTTGTGGGACATGTGACTTTTGTGTTAAGGCAGTTTACCCATCTTGGCCGATGTGGAGAAAGTGCAAACTTCAGTAGAATCCCGGTCTTTTCATCCAAGTGCTTGCAGGTGCAGCGTTGTGCTCTGCAAGGAACCATACAGAAACCAAAGAGCTCGCTTTTTTGTCTTTGTAATTCCTTAGGGTCTGTGATATATGCCAGGAAATCTGATTGAAACTAATATGCTTTTTATTCTCCCATTATTGCCTAAATTGTTATATCACAGGCACTTGCCTACACTGGGAAAGTAAGAACAAATAATGCCCATTTAATGTAACTTGCCTGTATTTTGACTGTCTTTTGTAAGCACTTGCTGAACTGCTGACTTAACTCAGTTTTAAGATTTCCTCTTTCCCCCCAGCTTTTCCACATTTCTTAAATGAGGGTACAATTTACTGCAAACATGTACATTTAATATAATATTGCTGTTAGATTCATGGTACACTTTATGAAGCAAAAACATGAAAAGGAAAACACAACTCTAATAAACTTTAAATTACAGATTGACTCTCTCTCACCCCTCTTCTTGAATTTAGCCCACGTCTACACCATGTACACAGGCACAGGACTTTATGGCTTAGAAACTTTAGATATAATTGGGTCCTATAGACATAACATGCAATCCACCAACTGAGCCTTGGCTGAACTTGTCCCCTGTTAAAGACGTAGGGCTAGCCAGCCATAGAGCTGGGCATTGAAGTCGGCAAAGTGTATCCTGGTGCAAGCACCCTTAAATGGAGAGTACTCAGGATCTGCCAGCCTTAACCTGCCCACTGGCCACCCTAATCAAGCACTAAATATCTGATCCAATCTGGCCACTGATGTGACTCCGTAATCAGACATCTTCTTTGTAAACAGCTCCTCCTCCTCTCCCTCTCCCTCTCAGAGACAGAAGTAGTGCTGGGGTTTGGAGTTTGAAAATAACCTTCCTATGACAGGAAGTGGGCTTTTGCTGTTAGTTGCCCAACTCTTAGAGGATCCCAACTTGTGTCTTTAGACAAAACTGACAGCCCTTGGAACGATCACATGGTGGCGCTGCCTTCCAGCCAACAGTTCTGGCTCAGCTGCAGAATTTATCCAGCTATGTTTGTGGAATTCTTTTACGATCCTACTGCATTTTGCTCCTATGCTTTTATAAAAATTTGACGAGAAAATGTAAAAATGATACTTGGCAATAAGACATTTAGCTTTCATGCACCTAATAAAAATGTGTCAAAGCTAGATCGCTCCAGATGTGCTTAAAATATCTCAAATCCTAGGCTCTCATTGGGCTTATAAGTGGTTGGGAAGAAAAAGAATAAAATAAACTTACATATAGGAGATATGGAAAATATTTCATCAAATATTATGCCCAAAGAGAGAAAATTAGGAGTTGATTTTTTTTTTTTTTTTTTTTTTTTAGCTCTCTGAACATGGAAGTTCCCTTTAAAAATGTAATTCTACCCTTCACCTTCCCCACATTGTATGTTTCTGTAAGATTTTACTCATTACAAATGAAAGTAGAGGACTGCCTGTGAATTGTTTATTTCTGAAAAGAATATATTGAGATCAGTTAAAATTACTCAAGAGTTTGGTGACTCAGGATTGTAAAAAGCCTGGATCTCAACAGCTGGGAGGAGTCAGAGGGTGACGTGGAAAAAAAATAGGGACTGAGGGGCAATGAAAAGTCCCTTTGAACCTGTGGTCATGTATAGCAATTAGAGTGGGTTGCCCTTCTACTTCTCCCAAGAAGAAATCCCATATAGATTCCTTTCATGTCAGATTATACTGTTCTGATTTTATTTTCTATTATTTTTACATATACATCCAAATCTAATAATACTTATTCAGATTGACCCACTGAGACCAAAAGTCACTGTCTTGTATTCTAGAAATTCTTTCATGTTGCTGACATGAATCCATTTTTAAAAGAAAACTCAGGGACTCTTAGAATTTTAGAGTGGAAGGGACCTTTGAGATCATCTACCAGTGCTTCTCACCCCTTAGCATTCAGCAAAATCACTCAGATACTTACTTATTGTGCATAATTCTTGACCCCAGCACTAGAAATCTGGGAGGATATCTGCATATTTAACAAGTACCCTAGTGATTCTAATGCTGATGGTGCTCAGATCACTCTTGGAGAACCTCTGATTTTATCCAACTCCCACATATGACAAATGAGGAAAGCCTCCCAACCCTAAGCTCTGTCAGGTGGCCTGATTCCAATATATGATACCAACAATCTTATGAAGGCTGGAGAAAGCCATTAATACTGAGACTTGAGTAGATGATGCTCGTAAATAAGAACTTTATGGCTGGGACCACAGCAGTCATAGGAGCCCATCCCTGGCAGTCCATAATATAAAGCCTTTAATACAGAGTGGTGGTTTTTCTCTTTTCTAAATACCATTTCAGCCTGTTAAGAGAAAAGAAATTAATGTTCAGAAAAGTAGTTACTCCATATGTGCAGTAACTACTTTTCTATAATGTCTTATGGCATCTGGGGTTCAGCATCATTGAACAAGATTAAATGAACGTTATAGAGCTATAAAATTGCATGTAAAATAACGCAAAACTGTTCAAATGACTATCAAAGTAGCCTGGGAATGAATTTCCACTAAAATTAATTGTCACTTTCAAAACGTAGCTTAGCAAAGCTGTTACTAAACGGGAGAGATCCGTTAATACATAGAAATGTCAAAAAAAATCAAATAAGTATTCCCTAAACGATGTGAGTGATAAGCAAAAGTCATTGCGAAGTCAGTATTTTTTTGTTCATCATTGCTACTGAAATTTAGAGTTCCATTGTGTATGTGTGTCTTGAGTGTACCTTATTAGAATATCCAATACAATAGCTTTTGGATATTCTATGCTTTTGTGTCCTTCAGAAATCATGAGATTGAAGGAATCTGTGTTAAATGTTTTTGTTTTGGTTGCTGCCTGAAAAAAGTTACCAACTCATTTAGTAAAATGTAAGATTTCTTTATAAAAATTTCAATTTCTAATATCGAAGTCAGATAATTTTTCTTGAACTTTTATTTTGGAACAGATGTTTATTTCGGATTTATTAAAGTGTCAACTTTGCATTATAGAATTGAACATGACGTAAATTGAGAGTTTCTGAGTTTTCTATAGAAAATTTATGCTACCTCTCATCTCTTCACATACAAAGAAGCAACTTTTAATGAAGACTTGAGGTGAAAATTTTAATTTTAGCATTTTGCATTACATGATGAATGGAGAATATTAAAGGACTTTGAACATTTTAATAAACTTACAGTGTTTCTGTTTTCAAATAGAGGTATTAATTTTGTGGGTATACATTAAATTCTCCCCAAAATTCTCAGACTTGAATCAGATAATGTGGCTTACAACCATCGTTTTTGTTTTTAAGTTTTAACATTATCTTTTCAGTATTCATTTAAAACAAGTCACCATGACTTTGAATATATTCTCATGGAGAATTTATTTCAATGATTATACAAAAGAATTTCAGAATTTAAACTAGTGAGCATACTTTAGCTTTAGACAGCTAACATTATTTGTCCCAAATTTAAAATCTTATCAGTTGCATTGAAAGTTATTAATTCTTTAGAATAGTCTTACCTGTGTAAGTTGAACCAGGTTTGTTTCATTATGTTTTGGATCTGCTTGTGCCCCCACCCCCCTATTTTATACCATCTGTGCCCTGTGCAGTTGGGGACCCTTTCACATCTGGCTACAAGCTGGTGTAATGCCCTTCCTTTTGATCTGGCTTCATCTAGTGATTTGCTCAGTATTTTTAAGGTCAGACTGAAAACTTTTCTGTTCTAGTTATTTTTGATTTTATATTGTGTGTTGTGTTTGATATTCAGATACATGTGAAAGTTGCTTCTATAAGTCAGTATTTTTTATTCCAGCCTTTTGCAGCAATAAGGTAAGACTAGACTATACTTTTCTTACTTGAAAAGGTAGTGATTTATGTGTTTAGTGCAAATGTTTAGACTGTTGCAATTTTCTAATTTGGGACTATATTGCTATGAATTTGTGCTGCTTCATTTTTCAAGGTAGTAGTTCACAGGGTTTGTTTAAGTGTTAGTCTGTAGAACTTTATTTTGAGATCTTTTGTAATCTGTTGCTACTAATTCTTGTTCTGTATTGAGGTTCTTATAGTATAGAAATGTCATTTTCATCCTCCAGTTTAAAAAATTCATGCAGTTTAATCAACCACATCACTTAATCATTATTAGATCCCCAGTGTGTGTGTGTGGTGATTAGGATAACCCTGTTTATTCCAACACATATTAAAAGTTTCTGTCCAACAACTCTGATATGTATGATGCTGCTAGCATGGAGTCTGGCGCTTAGTAGGTTATCTGGTATTCTGATGGGGAGTAACTATTTTTATTTTTACACTTCCTTGTTGAACACATTGATAATAGGGCTCATCTGGGTCTCTCAGAAAACACATCCTGCTTATTTTAATTCTTTTTCTTTACCCTCTACTAAGAATGGTTTTGTTTTAGAATAAGTCAATTACGCTCGTTGCTCTTTTGTGCTGCAATTTGGCCGTGAGATTCAGTTGTCCCCTGTTTCGGCAAGTAAAGTGAGTTTACTCCTCCTTTCTGGCTGTCTCATATATTCCTTTAAAAACAAACAACGCGTACCAACAAACTCTTCTTCCTTTCATCTGCAGACTTTCCTATCTCTCCCTGCAGAAACAAGCAATTCAGGATTTCGTGTGTGATGCCTAGTTAATTTTAACACAGCGAATTTAATGAAATCGCTGAAGAGCAGGGCATAACACTGGGAAGGCTTTACAATTTCATAATATTTCCCGCTCATATTTGCATCTGATTACTGCCACCATGCATTCTGTGTGTACTTCATCATCTAGTCATTATTGATGCACTTTTTGGAATGTGTTCTTGGTTGTTCTATTAGCATAGGTTCCTCTGCATTGTCACCTAACGTCGTTTTCCTGGAAGCCATGACCATGCATGCCTTTTCTTCCTCAGTGATCCTTTTACTGCAGTAACTGCTGTTAAATAACTTTTAACTGCTTTTCATTAATGAATGTATAAAACAATCTCTGGAATCCTACAGGACGATGGTCTTTTGTTATATAAAGAAAAGAAAAAACAGTAGCATTTACAAGGGCCAGCAAGTTAAAATATATGTCATTAAAATATGTTTCTATTTCCCATCATCTGGCTAGGCTGTGGTGCTGACTAACTTATTTCTTGCCAGAGAAAATAAGTTTAAATCATAAGCATATTTAACTAGCAAGCATAAATCATAAATTCTTTATAATCATAAGCATTTTGAACTCTGGTATCATTTGTACAGATGGCAGGGCTAAATGTGTGTGCTCCTCTAAGCATTAAAGATGTGGACAGGCTCTTACTGCCCAACTTCCTCTTTAATTCAGGAAACTTAAATCATTTGTTTTTTGCACATAGAGGATTCTATAAAGTATAGACCTAGAGAAAGGTTTCAGATCTTAGGAAACATTTGAGTTTTGTGATTTCACTCTTCCTGGGAAAGAATGATGGAAGTGAAGGTTAAATACTAAAGCCGTGTCCCCTTTTTAAGGGGAAAATAATTCGTGTTTCATGAAGATAGTCAAGTTATAAAGGACAAAACTGTTTTTCAGAATTTTTTTTTTTTTTTAAACAAACATCTTGGAATCCACATTTTAACAGAGGTCCATCAGCTTTCAAAGAGTGTTCCCTAGAAGAGTGGTTCTACAGAAACACTTTCGGATATGGCAAACAAAGTTTTCATTGTAAAATATGTTTTAAGAAGTATTTTTAAAAGTGTAATAAAGCAATAACACAACACTGACATGCATCACATGGCCAAATTTTAACATTTTGGAAACCAGTAAGCGTAACTTATGTACTCATTGATTTTGTTTTATGAAACAAAACAAAGGTTTAATAAACCTTTTTATTGTAAAATAAAAGAAAGGTACAGAAAACCACACAAAACCAATGTGTAACTTACTGAATTGTTACAAGGAGAACACCCTATAACAGCAGGCCAAGAAATAGAACTTTACCAGTCACCCCAGGGGCTCTTCATATGTCCCTGCCCTCTCCACTAAAATAACCATTATCCTGACCTACAGGAGGCACTTGCATTTTTCTCTGGTTTTATCACAGGTGATAAACATCATTTTACATATAGAATCTTCTCTATGAATGTTGGTTCAGAAAACTTATTTGTGAGTCTTTTAAATGATAAGTGCAAAGTGACACACTATAAGCAATTGACACCCCTGTAAGTTAGTGACTGGGCAGAATTTAATGTGCTTTTGCTGTAGTGTGTGACTCTGTCCATAGCTATAATGTCCACAATAACAATAGCATGTATGGAGTTCCATGTCATCTAAACATAGAGATTAGTTTTCCCCAACACCCTATGACGTAGATGCTGTCATTGTTGTCCCCAGTTTGTGTATGTGGAAACATATGCATGAGGTTCAGAGAGGTGAAATAACTTGCCGAAGGTCATACCAGTAGTCGGTTGCAGAACCACGATACATCTAAGGTACTGTGGCTCCAGCCTGTTCTGTGATGAGGCTGCCTTGATGGAAGTTGAAGCTATGTTGTGCAAGAATTTTGAGATTCCTTATGAGAGTTCATTTACAAAGAAAAGGCTTTACGGCTTTAAGAAAAAGATGGAAAAATCATTGGCCTAGTTCAGACTTTTCATTTTACAGATGAAGAAATGACCCAGAAAGTATAAAGAATTTGTTCAAGGTCATACAAGCAGTTGGTGGCAAAGTTGCAGCTGTATCCCACATCTGCTGGCTGTTAAAATCAATGATCTTTTCTTCATTCCATACATTATGCAGAAAAATATGCATGTTTTCTAACCTGCTTCTTTGCATCAACTCCATGTAAGCAGATTTGTTGAAACCAGTTTGTAGCTAGAACACACCATCTACTTGTTTATTTTCTCAAGGTTTTAACTGGGAATTAAAAAATTTCTATCTGAAGCTTGCTTTTCTGTCTCACTTATTGAGTGCCCAATCTGCAGACACACATGCCTAACACTCTTCTCCAAAGAATGTACAAGAATAACACATTTGCTGGTGTGGATGGCAGGTGAAAAAGAATTACTGATGTAGTGTGTAGGCCCTTCAACATATTCACGGCCAATTCCGGATTATCCTAGCACAGATGGATCATGCAAAATCCCTCTTCTACTTCTTACTGGTGACCTTTAACTATTTGTGTTTGCAAATGCTTCTACCAGGGATTGGAAAGGAGAAGAGCGGAGAAGATGGAATTTGGTTTCTTGACCAGAATGTTAGGTGTCCTGGTAAAAGGTTTGGTGGTTTTGCCACTTAAGAGAACAGGGAGACCGTAGGATTCTCTCGGGATTTGAACTTGTCTGGGATGCCCAATTTAGCCTTGAAATATGAACAATCAGAAAGAAAGCAAACTAATGCAATGGAAAGAGCTTAGTTTGGAATTTGCTTTATTGGGTTGAAATTCTATTCACTTGTGCCTTGAGTAAGTCCCTCAACTTATCTGAGCCCCAGTTTCCTCCTTTTTAGAAGGGCAAGGTAGAGCTTCTTCAAAGCCAGTAACATATGAAGCACCCAGCTCAGCCCTTTGGATGCGGTAAAGAGTTAGTAAATGGTATTTCCGTTGGTTGGCTGTATCAATTTATCCATACAGTGAAGGGAATGAACTGCTTCAAGGAAACTTTCCCGCTTTCCTCTTCAGGTGTTGGCCCAGCTTAACTTGTTTGAGGTCCTACAAGTCTTTGGTGGCAACACTATGGCCAAACCCATTCGTCTTCTAACTGCTTGTTTATGATCTTTCTACCTCATTGTACCATATTGGGTAAAAACAAATCTTCCCCATTTACTTGAGTTCTGTGCACTTGACTTCTGAGTTAATTTGCCACAAACCAACTTAAAACCTAAATGAACTTTCCAATTATTTTCTAAGAGCATTATTGCCATCATAACATAAGAAGGAAGTTCAGGATCGGACACGGTGGCTTACGCCTATAATCTCAGTACTTTGGGAGGCTGAGGTGGGTGGATCACCTGAGGCCAGAAGTTCAAGACCAGCCTGGCCAACATGGTGAAACCCCATCAATACTAAAAATACAAAAATTAGTTGGGCATGGTGGTGCATGCCTGTAATTCCAGCTACTCAGGAGGCTGAGGCATAAGAATCACTTGAACCTAGGAGGCAGAGGTTGCAGTGAGTCGGGATTATGCCACTGCACTCCAGCCTGGGCGACACAGTGAGGCCCTGCCTCCAAAAAAAAAAAAAAGTGCAGTTGATGAAAATGTTTTAGAGGCTGAACAAATTCTCACTGAAGCATAAATCTATTGTCCATCTCAAACTTGCAGACACTCAAACTTGTCACTGAGGGGACAATTAGAAGCTCCCGAGAGTTCCCTGTATGATGTGTATATTATGTTTTATGTATGTATTATAATTATATATTATTATTTTAATCCTGCCTACCTTAAAGGAAAGTTAATAGGCCTTAGTATAGCTGAGATATAGACCATATACAATATTGACTTATTCATTCAGCAAATATTTCTTGAAGAACTGATGTGTTAAGCACTAGGAATACAAAAACAAGATATGACATCATTCCTATTTCATGGAGCTGACAATTTAGTGGATTGCTAAATATTAAAACTGAACTACTAGACCATAAGAAATGCAGGAAGTATATCTTAGACATTTTTGAGTTGCACATACCTGCATTATAAGTATGAATGCAATGCATGTTTGAATGAAGACATGTTTGAATGTTGTCATAAGCAGTGTTTTTTTAAAAGTCAAAAACCCCTTAGATTTCTAAAGCTGAGTGTTTTTGCTAATCTCATTATTGTTTTCAAATTCTCTAATAATAATAATAGCCTAGACACTGAATTTAGTAACCACAGAGGCTGTTTATAATTTGTTGGTGCTTTTTAAACATCTTTGAAAGCCAAACAAGCCCTTGACTTCTGGCCAATAATTCACTGCGTCTTTATGTATATACTTGAGGGGTAGCAGTCATCAAAAGGCCTATGCACCAGCATGTGAAATATGGGGATCCTTACACTGTGGAATGTATAAAGATTGCTTACTCTGTAATTTTTAAAAGCCCCGTAACTATAAAGCATATATAGCATCTGAACAAGAAATATGACACTAAGTCTAGGATTAAATAATATCTTGGGGCCACTACCTTATGCATTTTCAGCAGTTTGGGAACTCCACTAAGTGCAGGTCAACAAGCGCAGAGCATCATAAATGAGCATCTGTCCCATGACCCAGCTGGAGACCCCTTCCGATTATTCATTCCAGAAGCACGTGCTGACACCAGGTTCAGCCCTCGTGGCTCTCTCACTCACAGTGGTCTTTTAAGATTGTAGAGAGGTCAAATCCTCCCACCCCCATGCCTCGCGGAGTGGCTAAATGTTTTCTGGGTCTTACTTGCTTTGTAGCCCTGATAACTCTATTTTTTAAATTAAAGTAAACAAAAGAGGGCCCTAGCCAGGGAGCAGTCCAACCCAGAAGACATGTGTGGAAAAGGTTTAAAAAAAAAAAAAAAGAAAAAAAAAAAGTGTTTTAAATGAGAACAGGCAGCTCTGCGGAGAAGAACTTGTTCGATTCGGCACCACTGCTGTTTCGCCCGCTGACCTGGACTTTGCAGCCCAAGTTCATCCTTCCACTTCAAAGGCCGGGCTCTGAGTGGATCACACGTTTTCCTTGATGACAAATTAATCAAACTTGATTTCTTGGATGAAATGGATACAAAAGAACTACAACTCCCCAAGGCCCGAAAGTCAATACAGTCCTTCTGGCTCTGATTAGGGTAACAAAAGGATATCTGAGAGCCATCTTCCTCCCTGCTCAGGCTGTGGGATGGAACTAAAAGCAAGCCGGGCTTGTAAAGGAGAAAGGCCTTATTAAAACACATTTCAGCTGCAACCAAGTGCACGGCGAGCCCTCCTGACAAGAGAAAATTACTTTTTAGTAGATGCTCACCTTCTCTCGAGAGCAAAGTTTCCACTTAGAAAGACCTAGAGGAAGTAGTATATTATGAATCTGAAATGTTTATAGATCTCCCCTTTTATGTTTCTGCTGTGAAGATGAGGTTAAAAAAAAGAAATCGCCCGGTGATATCTGGCAAATGTTAGAGAGAGCCCACGTTTGGTTAAGTAAATTTACT